GTGAATCCCCAACAATAATGATGAAAGCTGAAAAAGACGTACACAAAATTTAGAAGTTTCAAGATCATCACTAGAGCTAAGGTATATAGCGAGATTCACAGAAATTCTCGAATATGAAAGCGAAACTGTACTCCTCGAGTAAATTACATTCACTCATTAGTTGTCCTGCGGAGCAGCTCTCAACCACGTCATCGGAGAATAAGATTACAGTACATTTGTTTCAAAGTAGATGTCATCGACTCATCGGTACAGGTTTGTTCATGATAATTAAGATCTGAATGTTACGTTAGATTGCATCCGTCGCTTTGCATTAATTTGGGTATGACCTGGAAAATGAGTTCATTCAGTTTTGACTTGAGATGATGCATCAAGACAGTGAAGATTTACTTCTGTCAAGTGGCGATTCAGTCAAGTTCGTACATTGGACATTGGGGTTATCAAGGCAATACCTAGAGGAAAACTCATGCATTTTCGTTATGCAACATCGTAAGTACTGTTCGAATGAGATTTTAGTCAGCATTTACCTTGTAAAAAAAGCACTGTACTTTAATTTATTAACCTAAGTACCAAGCACCCTGGAACAAAATGAAGTAACTTGACTTGCGGAAAAGACCTTCAGGTAATGGAAAATGATGGAAATAAAATTTCAAACACAAAATTGCAAAATTTGAATTTTTAGAGAAATTGAATATCCATAGAAAAATTGAAGGTGAATTCGAATTCATCAGCGATCCTAATCCTTACTCTCAAGTAATCTCCTAAAAATCCTCTTCAAGGTGGAACAAAACTCCCTGTTCTTTTCTGTCATATTGTTCTTTTCTCTTTCATTTGGCTCTTGTACTGAATTTGATCGGAAAAATCAAGGGAAAATTTATCTGTTAAGCAAGAGTGATGCCCACAAGAATTTCGATAAATTTTGCACATCAGTAGGATGCGCACCCCACTTCTTGGTCCCCCGATAATAGGGGTAAAAAGTGCGCAGGGCAATCAAGTAAAAACGGTAGCAACAAGCACAAAAAACATCTCATATATCACCCGTAGTTTCTCTCAGCAAAGAAATTATCGGTGGCTTTCATTGAGGATTAGGGCCGATTATGCTCGAGAGTCAAGAGTAGTACACTCGACACAACGGAATTATTTCAAAAATGAGTTTAGAAATTACAGAGTTCATTCGCATTACCCCTTTCTCGTCTTCAATGACGAATAAGAAAAACTCGCCACCACAATTTAGGAAGAGAATTNATCAGGATGAGTTTTCATTCATCGGCTATAACATAACACACCTTTCAGGGTACCAACGATCAGAATGGGGAGGTAACCTTGGGGATAAAGCCTCGAAGCATGGACGACACCGTCGTTAATTTTCTTGCACCTATAAACTTCCTTCATCACAGCCAGCACACACTTGACAGGCAGGATACTGACGATATAATATCCAACGTCGAACGGAGCATAAAAAACCATGTACCTACAAAATATACAATGATCAGCTTTTGTCAAGGTGAACGCAGCAAAAGACCAAAACATTTTCAGTACTAGCGCAAATAATCCAAAACCAATGCAACATACCACACGGCTGTCGCAACGTAGAGTTGATCTGAAGTCTTGAATACAGAGAGTAACGGCTCGCCCAACAGGAATGCAGTTAACAATGACCCCGAGAAAATGGAAATCATGCAGGAAATCCAGCATGCAAATGGGTGAAGTCGAGAAAACTTCGCATTACCTAGCATCGCGAAGTTGAAAAGTTACTTCTCCGCTCTAATTAAAAATTGGGATTCAAGAACTCACTCTTGTCCAATTCGTCTCGTATATATAAGCACGTAATAGCCGAGTGAGCAACATCAAAAAGGGGAAACATTTTCAGCTTCACGACCTGGTTCGCCAGATCTATCACACTTTGTAAATCCATGACTGAAGGATAACACAATCGTCAGAAAGACTTCCTGGAATTGCGGAGATTAGCAGTGAGAGTCTTCTAGCAAAAGGAAACGGCTATTTCGCAGTCGAAAGAAGATATATTCGCAGCACGACGTAGGAACATTCAAAGCATAAAATGATTTCTACAGATATGAGTGCATTAAAAATAGGATAAGTCGATCAGCATGGTCCACGGGCTTTCCAGACGTTCACATTCCCCCACGAAGACGGAGGACAAGATGGAGGGTTGACTCCTTCTGGATATTGTAGTCAGACAGGGTTCGACCGTCCTCAAGTTGCTTGCCAGCGAAAATCAAACGCTGTTGGTCCGGAGGAATGCCTTCCTTATCCTGGATCTTGGCCTTCACGTTCTCAATAGTGTCAGATGCCTCGACTTCCAGGGTTATAGTTTTTCCTGCGAATGATTCATTCAATACAGCATTACTCAACCACACACCAGTTTCTCAACAAGTACACGTACCAGTCAGAGTTTTCACGAAGATTTGCATACCACCGCGAAGGCGGAGTACCAGATGCAACGTAGATTCCTTCTGGATGTTGTAGTCAGATAGGGTGCGGCCATCTTCCAGCTGCTTTCCAGCGAAGATCAACCGCTGTTGGTCCGGAGGAATGCCTTCCTTGTCCTGGATCTTGGCTTTTACGTTCTCAATTGTGTCTGAGGCTTCAACTTCGAGAGTGATAGTTTTCCCTAAAAAAAAAAAAAATAAAACGTTGAAGCATGGATGGAACCGTTGAAACTTGGTTCGTCTCACCAGTCAGCGTTTTGACGAAGATTTGCATTCCACCTCGGAGACGAAGAACCAAATGAAGAGTGGACTCCTTCTGAATATTGTAATCCGAGAGGGTTCGTCCATCTTCAAGCTGCTTCCCAGCGAAAATCAAACGCTGCTGATCTGGAGGTATACCTTCCTTATCCTGGATCTTGGCTTTCACATTTTCGATCGTATCGGAGGCCTCCACCTCGAGCGTGATGGTTTTGCCTGAAAAGATTCAGAATAGATTTATTGAAGTCCGAACTCCATCGATAAAGAACATACCAGTCAACGTCTTCACGAAAATCTGCATTCCTCCTCGCAGACGAAGCACCAAATGCAGGGTAGATTCCTTCTGGATGTTGTAATCCGAAAGAGTTCGTCCATCTTCGAGCTGCTTCCCGGCAAATATCAATCGCTGCTGATTACGAAAATCTGCATTCCTCCTCGCAGACGAAGCACCAAATGCAGGGTAGATTCCTTCTGGATGTTGTAATCCGAAAGAGTTCGTCCATCTTCGAGCTGCTTCCCAGCAAATATCAATCGCTGCTGATCTGGAGGAATACCTTCCTTGTCCTGAATCTTCGCTTTCACGTTCTCAATAGTGTCAGAAGCCTCAACTTCAAGAGTGATAGTTTTCCCTGTAAAATCCATAAGTCAGATCAGAACGGTTGCATCATCAGAAGTTTAATAGCGAGCTCACCAGTTAAAGTTTTAACGAATTTCTCAATAGTGTCAGAAGCCTCAACTTCAAGAGTGATAGTTTTCCCTGTAAAATCCATAAGTCAGATCAGAACGGTTGCATCATCAGAAGTTTAATAGCGAGCTCACCAGTTAAAGTTTTCACGAAAATCTGCATTCCTCCTCGCAGACGAAGCACCAAATGAAGAGTCGACTCCTTCTGAATATTATAATCCGAAAGAGTGCGGCCGTCCTCCAACTGCTTTCCGGCGAAGATCAAACGCTGTTGGTCTGGAGGAATCCCTTCTTTGTCCTGAATTTTAGCTTTCACATTCTCGATAGTATCAGAAGCTTCAACCTCCAACGTGATAGTCTTGCCTGTATAAAACGCATAATTACGGCGAGTCCAACGTAAGTGACGAAAGAATTACACACCGGTCAAGGTTTTCACGAAGATCTGCATTCCTCCTCGAAGGCGAAGTACAAGATGGAGGGTCGACTCCTTCTGAATGTTGTAATCGGAAAGAGTACGGCCATCCTCCAACTGCTTTCCAGCGAAGATCAAACGCTGTTGGTCTGGAGGAATCCCTTCTTTGTCCTGAATTTTAGCCTTCACATTCTCAATAGTGTCCGAAGCTTCAACCTCCAAAGTAATCGTCTTGCCTAATACGGAGAACAATCCAGATGAAATTCCAGGCAACTTATAATCTAAGGGAAATCTCACCAGTCAGGGTTTTAACGAAGATCTGCATGCCTCCTCGAAGACGGAGCACCAGATGGAGCGTCGACTCCTTCTGGATGTTGTAGTCGGACAGGGTTCGACCGTCCTCAAGTTGCTTGCCAGCGAAAATCAAACGCTGTTGGTCCGGAGGAATGCCTTCCTTGTCCTGGATCTTAGCCTTGACGTTCTCAATGGTGTCAGATGCCTCGACTTCCAGGGTTATAGTTTTTCCTGCGAATAATTCATTCAATACAGCATTACACAACCATAAAACCGTTTCTCAACAAGAACACGTACCAGTCAGAGTTTTCACGAAGATTTGCATACCACCGCGAAGGCGGAGTACCAGATGCAACGTAGATTCCTTCTGGATGTTGTAGTCAGATAGGGTGCGGCCATCTTCCAATTGCTTCCCGGCGAAGATCAACCTCTGCTGGTCTGGCGGAATACCTTCCTTGTCTTGAATCTTAGCCTTCACGTTTTCAATCGTATCAGAGGCTTCAACTTCCAGTGTAATAGTTTTCCCTGTGAGGAAGAAGAGTTTAGAATTCCTGCAACTCTTTACCATAGTAGTGGAACTCACCAGTCAAGGTTTTAACAAAGATCTGCATGCCTCCACGAAGACGGAGCACCAAATGCAACGTAGATTCCTTCTGGATGTTGTAATCTGATAGGGTGCGGCCATCTTCCAGCTGCTTTCCAGCGAAGATCAATCTCTGTTGGTCTGGTGGGATTCCCTCCTTATCTTGTATCTTGGCTTTGACATTCTCTATGGTGTCCGAAGCCTCAACTTCCAACGTGATGGTTTTTCCTGGAAACGAGCGATATTCACCGTTAGATGTGGCAAAATATATTTTTCACGTAAGACTCACCAGTGAGGGTCTTGACGAAGATCTGCATGCCACCACGGAGACGAAGAACAAGATGGAGAGTAGATTCTTTCTGGATGTTGTAATCGGACAGAGTCCTTCCATCTTCGAGCTGCTTTCCAGCAAAAATCAAGCGCTGCTGATCTGGAGGAATGCCTTCCTTATCTTGGATCTTGGCTTTCACGTTTTCGATGGTATCCGAAGCCTCGACTTCCAGCGTTATCGTCTTGCCTAAAAGTAGTCGAATCTCAACACACGAACTTTCTTTCAAGAGATAAATATTTCATACCAGTGAGAGTCTTCACGAAGATCTGCATACCACCTCGCAAACGGAGAACCAGGTGCAAAGTAGACTCCTTCTGAATGTTGTAATCAGACAGAGTCCTTCCGTCCTCGAGCTGTTTCCCAGCAAAAATCAGTCGCTGTTGATCTGGAGGAATGCCTTCCTTATCCTGGATCTTCGCCTTGACATTTTCAATCGTGTCCGATGCTTCCACTTCGAGGGTGATGGTCTTCCCCGTCAACGTCTTCACGAAGATTTGCATATTTAAAACGTATCGACACTTTTCGTCACGGAATCGAGAATACGCTCAAGAGTAATTTCTGGCGGAGTAATTCGCTCTGTTGAAACAAGGGCAAGATTTATAATTCGATGGCGAGTGAAAACCCGATGAAACTTTTCGTAAACAACAGGGCACACCGTCTCACGCAATTCACCATTCCCCTACACATCTTGAAGACTCACGTCCTAGATTTCGCGCACCTCTACTCAGTTCCGAATTCAAGAGGACGCTCAACTAAACATTCTTGTTGACTGCAGTAAGGTTTCAGCTTCCAAGGATAAGTCACTCAACGAATGCAACACACATTTACAACACAAGAACCCAACACATTCAACGCCCGAGTAACAATGCTTTGTTCCATTGGAATGGTGGACGACTAAATAACCTCCAGCGAGGAACAGCTGAATCACTGAACCGTTTGCATAGCAACTGCGCCAACACGTCCGCCCTGTCGTCACACGACCATTAGATCAGCTGTTCTAGAATGATCGAGAAACACGTCGAATACGCGAATGTGGAGTGCATCCGCAATCGGGTTCTAACTCGCATAAGATAAATGAAATGAATCAGCAATCCTGAATGGATGATTAAATTGGTTCTACCTCGGAAAAAGTAAATGAATAATTATTCCCGAATATATGATATATCAACTTCTACTGTTGCTTCGTTTGGCAAGAAGTGAACAGGATATTTGGAGAGTTATGTACCTCATACAGTAACGACACCTAGAAGCAACGTAGTGGAGCTCAGGGGGATGTCCACTCAACCTAATCGCGAAATATCACGCAGTAAGACAGATTAGAAAATGGGATTCGGGGACCAGGTTGCCGTAAGAAGACCACGGTACTTCCCGTCGAGCAATGTCAGAACATTGACAATGACCTCAATATAACCACATACTGTATTTGTCGCGGTGACGGTTCTTATGCCGTCGTGACACACCCTATTAATAAATTTGAATGGTCAAGGAAAGCCTCAGACAAGTTGATTATCTTATTGTAGGGTGATTAACCAGCCAGCCACTCGATAACTTCCTCTATATACAGTAGCCACAAACGAACTTCCTGTCTGGCGGTCATCGCACCAGAGCAGGGTTGATCAACCCTGCTGGTTCTAGAATGGCAGACATACTGTACTTCTGTTTACAGAACTGTGTATGGTACCGTATATGCATCGTGCGGTGCAATCGAACCAGGAAATAACGCCACAAGAAATGGTTCCATGAATGATGTACAGTATTATAAATTTGCCTTCATGTACAGTTGAACTCCAATATGACGCCACCATTTTTCCAGAACAATTTTGGTGGTTTAAAGGGGTTGATGGTTTATGNGGGGGGGGGGGCATCTTAAAGGGGTTTGACTGTACTATACCTGGAGTGGAATGCTTCAACATAAGTGGGGATGGGAAGCATGCCTTATTGAAATGATTTTGTTTTCAGGGAATACCCCCATTTTAAAAAATAAGTAAAAATGATGTACAATATGAACGCTCT